GCAAAGCCGACCTCTTACGTCATCCGCCCGGAACTGCTTCCGTGTACAACAGTGAGCGCAAGCTAGATTAAATTGATTATTACATTTTAAATATGGTTATTTTTCTTTCAAAAATGCATCGATTCGCTACAGGAGGCCTTTGCTCACCCCCCGGAGCCGTGTGAGACACTTTTTATTATGGATGGGCGCTTTTTATTTCACTTCTTTTGGACTGATGAACTGCAACACCCGCTGACTGCCATTAAACAGCTTGTAAGATCAAAGACAATTTTTAATATAACTCGGATTCGTCTGAAAGAAAAAAGTCATATACACCTAGGATGCCTTGAGGGTGAGTAATTCATGGGCTAATTTTCATTTTTGGGTGAACTAACCCTTTAACATAGAAATCTTTTGTAACATTATAATGTCTTTACTGTCACTTTTGGTAAATCTAATGCACCCCTGCTGAATAAAAGGATTAATTTCTTATAAAAAATAATCTTACTGACTACAATTTTTTTTGAACGCAAGTCTATATATAAATTATGAAATTAAAAATATATATATTTTATTGTTTTCACAAATGTTTTTTTCTTTAAAGATAAAGTTTGCATTAGTTGCTGGAAATTATACAGTTACACAGAAACTCAGAGATAAGTTCATAAACATTGTCAGAAAATAATGGTATATCTGGAAAAACATTACTAATTAGTTTGTCATTTTCAAACCCGTCTTACTCATGCTACCCCAAATTATTTTTAACCTCATCTAGCCTGTCAGTTTTACCAATGTGACAAGTTGACAATCAGAATTTGCAACTAAATGTAAAAGAAAACCTGATGTTTAGGTTTGGAAGACATAATTCATACACCTGATCAAACTGTTTAAGGTGTTGCGCTGATTCAATAGGGTAAGTGACAGATCAGTCAACTAACATAAAACTCTCTCACAAGGGCCCTCAATACTGTTTAGCAGTGCAATTCAGTAAAACAAACATTTTCTGAAACCAACAGCTTTGGCCTTAATGCCCAGATCAGCACAGTATCACTTAGTCACAAAGTCTTGCACTAGACTTTTTCGAACAAGCAGCCTCAGTGCTATACTGTAGCCAGTTAGCAAGTCGATTTCTTTTTCTGTGTCTCTCTTTGGTCCGGATTCTGTTGCTAGGCTTAGAGAGGCCATTTGGGATTAAACTCTAAAAATATGGTGTCCCTGACACACTTTCCCAGTGATCCATCATGGTGATTTCACTCTGTCACAGACAACTCCACCAGAGTGTGACTGAAGTCAGCAGTGAGCCACAGATCATGTTCCTGTGAGGTCACCCACTCTAGTCTCTGTTATAAGCTCACTTCTTCACTCTGATCTCATTTACTTGCTCACTCTGACAAATTAAAGCACTCAGCGTTTAGTTTATGGCTAAGGGGTTAAGGATAGTGTGAAACTGACTGTTAACCTTACCATTTAGAGGGCAGTTACACTTTATTTTGTAAGGCATAGAGATGACAGTAAGATTTCTGTCATCCTCAGCTACATCCAGGGTCTTCAATTAACTTTTTGCCATTCAATAGAGAATTTATCAGCTGTGAAAATCTATTTTCATGCTATTATTATTTAAATTTTATATATTTTTTCTCATTAAATTTGGCTAAATTAATCAATTTCATCATTGTTTCATCCACAGTGCAGATCACAGAAATTATGAAACATCAAAGATAAACTTCTGATGATAAACTTACCACTGAGGTTTAATTTAAGACACACAATGTATTTTAATGTTTTCCTAGAAAACAATTTGTGTATCTTTATGAGTTAAACCATGTATAATATTGCAAATCTTGTTTAAGATCTATTAAAAAACACAAATTTATTCCGACAGTAACTTTAATAAACCTCTTGTATGTGTTTCTGAATTAAAATTAATTTCAAGAAAATTCATTTGTTTAATCTTCAAATGTTGAGAACACAAAAAGCTTATTTGTCTTTTTTTTTATCACTGAACAGCACCCATTAATCTTAGTCAGGGACTTTATATTGTAGGAAAATGATGGCACTTTTAGCAATTTTTATAAAAGGCACATGAAGACGTGTTGCACTCCCTGAAAAAAAAATAAACATTTTAAAAAGCTGTCACTGCGGCGGTACCCTTGGGTTAAAATATCTCCTCTCTTCCCCACAGGCCTCAGTAACATCATTGGCATGATCGTGTACATATCAGCCAATGCGGGGGATCCTTCAAAGAGCGACTCCAAGAAGAACAGCTACTCGTATGGCTGGAGTTTCTACTTTGGTGCTTTGTCCTTTATCATGGCTGAAATGGTGGGTGTGCTGGCCGTGCACATGTTCATCGACCGGCACAGGGAGCTGCGGGCAGGCACGCGGGCCGCAGATTACCTGCAGGGCTCGGCTATCACGCGCATCCCCAGCTACCGGTACCGCTACCGGCGCCGCTCCTGCTCCTCATCCCGCTCCACAGACCCCTCGCACTCACGCGATGCCTCACCAGTGGGCTTGAAGGGTTTCGGGGCTCTGCCCTCCACCGAGATCTCCATGTACACACTCACCCGTGGGGGCGACACCTTAAAGGGTGGTCATGGCACCCCCACCGCCACCTACAATTCGGAGAGGGACCACAACTTCCTGCAGGTCCACAACTGCATCCAGAAGGACCTGAAAGACTCATCCCACACTAACACAGCCAACCGACGCACCACCCCCGTATGAGGCACAACCTCGCCCTATACAGATAGCAGTGCGAGGGAGACAGGAGCAGAGCAGATTGGGGTGGAGGCCCGAAATATTACAGATCAAACTTCATGTACCATGCGTTTTCACGATTTGGAGGAACCGAGAGGATTTTTTACATTTCGATCAAAGACTACACATGTATGCATGATTTTGCCATTGACAAAATGAGGCTGGTTTGAAATGGAGAGAGGCTATAAAAGATATGCAGAAGGGTTCTTTCGGCCCGTGACATGGGAGCTGTAGCTTGTGGCATTGATTTGACATGTTTTTGTTAAGGAAGCATTTCACCACCCTTCGGTCTACATGGATCAGCAAGCTACTGCTCCCTCATAAGTCTTCTTCCTCTCTCCACTATATTCATCATATTTATTTATTTGTTCATTTGTTATTTGCATTTAAAAAAAAGAAACTGTGAACAACTGCAGTAAGGTATTCAGTAAGAAATAGCCCGGTCTGCAATCTCTTACAAAAGGTACAATATATATACATATAGTATATATATATATATATGTGTATATATTAATTTTATAAATAAATTAACATAATAATCAAGACTTTTCTGAGGCAAAAAAGTGAAACCGCTGTTTGCTGGGTAATGATCTGTTGGAAAAGAGACTCTGTGTCGCTGAGCTGTGACTGTAGCCAGACGATGGACGAAATCACAGAGAATCTTCATTGCAAAGCTGCTGTAACACGAGACTGACAAAGACGTTCAACCTTAGACAAAATTTTATTCTTTTAAAAGAACCTTCTCATCTTTTTCTCAGTCCCTGTTTGCTTCCTTTTTTTTCTCTATTCTCGCATTCGGTCGTCATGGGAGCGAACAACAGAAAAACAAATGAAAACCCCTTCACTGGCACTGAGCGACAAAAAGGGGTCAGAGTTCGCTGAAAGACTCCAGAACCGACTGCCAAGACGAAAAAAAGGAAGGAGGAGGGGGGAGGAAAAGAAGAGGATGCTGAACTCTAAATAAATACTTGCAAAAATGCAAGCGACAAATAAAGTACGAAATATTACAAGAAGCGAAGCTAAGTGACTCACGAATACAAAGATTAAATGCATGCTATAAATTTACAGCAAACCTGCTCTTGAAACTTAAGTTTTAAAGGATAATGATAATTATAAAGGGAAAAGCAATGTTAAAAAAAAAGTTAAATATTAATGTTTTGTGTACTCTTTCTGTTTTGGTTTTTATTACTATTAATTATTATTATAATTAATCATTATAATAATATACTTTGGTGATAAACCAAGCAAACAAATTATGACAAAACTGCTTTTTTAATTCTGAGTTGTTTCTTTGTATCCACGTGTATTTCTTTTACTCGATTTTTCTCAGAATCACACGCCTTAGCCATTTCGTATTTCTTTGGATTCATTTTAAACGTGTCGTTTTATTTGAAATGAAATCTAAAGGTGCCAAAACAGAATGATCCTAAACTTGGATGCATCAAGTCCTGATGAATAAACAGACAAACCCAAGGGGGAACAAACTCGATGCTTCTCTGTGTTTGCAAACCCTCACGCACCTGACGATGTCTCGAGCACCATTCAAACCAGCAGGAAAGCAGGCCGTGTTGTGAGCGAGCACGAGGCTTTCCAAATGAGTCAGACGTGAGTAAGTAACAGTAGGGAAGTGAAGTAACAGGTCACGTAATTACTCATCTGTTCCAGGCTCATCTATATGTGGGAAACGGTCTCTTAAGAATGTAATGTATCTGTTGTGCTAATAATGAGTGTGAGTGACTCGGCATGTTTTGCTTTGCTCTGATGGAGCGAACCCAGAAAAATGGAGGGAAAAAAGGATGTGGCAGGAAAGTGTGCCATGTTCCAGTGAAACAGAACACAGGTTTGTAATAAAACATGTGACCTACTCAAGTGTTCTCCTACAACTAGCATACTAAAAGCATCACTTTCTTTCCCGAAGACCTGCGCGTAACAGGTCCGGATTTATGCGTAGGACAGAATTGCTTCAGAGAGCAGCAAATGGCTTGAGTTTTACTTTGGGAATTAGTTCATATAAGCATAAATTCATGCTCAATAAGAGGATATGTCAATCTAGACAACAAACTTTCCTATGAGAAATGAATTTTCTCAGGCTGAGACATTTTTGCTGCTATACATATTGGATTCATGCCTTCTTAATATATGCCGAAATCTGACTCGCCGTCTATAAGCGACAGCCATTTTGTGAGTCTTCCCTTGACCAAGGAGGCAGAGAGAGTGCGAAATTACAACCACACACAAGCAGTGTTTTATGCCTTTTTCAGTTCTCTGAATTAAAATGCTTCCCTCATTCTCCCACTCCATGTATTCCCTCATCCATCTCCCTCCATCTTGTTGGGCCAACATGCTTGTCCTTAATTTGCCTCCCCTGCACAATCTCTCATTTTCCTCTGTGAATCATCTACTTGCATACTACACCCCCTCCCTCATCTATCGCTCTTGCTTATTTCTTTTCCTCTCGCTCTCTTCTACATCTATCCTCCTCTCCGTTACACATTCATCACTCGCTCTGTCCTTTTTCACCTTCACCACAGTCAGACGTCTCTCGCATCAACTTTCCCATCCTTCTCATCCGGCAAATCAAATTCTACCCCCCAGCTCCCGTTCTCCTCATTACAATATTGTGGAAAAAGGAAAAAAAATCAACAGATTTAAACAGACAAATCAATCATCAGGTAATAGCCTCTTCGTCCCCGAGATCAAGATTACCGGCTGATGAATGAATACGCTCACTCTTTAGTTTCCTCTAAATGAGCCGCTGTCTCTCAAACTATGCAATGGCAGTACATATAGGGGGCAATAGGGGCATAAGCAAACTTCCAAGGGGCAGCAGGTTGACTTAAAATGAATTTAAGTGAACAACCATAAAACAACCATTAAAATAAGCCAAAATAACTACAAATCAAGATATTTCTCATTTTTATTCATCCCCTGAACAATCGGGTAGAAATTTAGAATTTTTTTTTTAATCCTTATCCTTATCTAGTAAATCACAAAGAACTGTAAAAGTCATGGTGTCGTCGAATATTGTTGTGGACAGTTAGGGGCTTTGGAGTCAAAAAGTTTGAGAACCACTGAATTAATAGCTATTACAGTTTATGTGAGTTATATTTTAGTGACGCTACACAAACTATAGAACTAACTTACTGTAAATCCCAATTGTAACATTTTTAAGTATAAATTTTGTCTCCGATTTTTCTCCTAAAATTCCTTAATACAAATAAAATAAGAAAAATAATGACACAATTGAAATGATAAATGTAGAAACATTAATGTGGCATTGTTTATATAAATTTGTTTCAGAAGAATATGATGAGAAATAATCAAGAAAATATGAAACATGAGGAAAATATCTATATAATTTATTATTATAAAACAACTGAGACATTAGAGGGGAGCTCAGTAAATTTTGTTACTGGCCTTTTATGGATTTTTCTAAAGTATACTTCTTTTTGTATGGTCTTTTTTTAAATGAGGACTTACTGAGCTCACTTTTTTAAATACATCTTCTTTATGATTTTTAGTTCTTTGGGATTTTACATACGCAATTCAAATATGTATATTAAACAAGGAGCTAAAGAAAATGAGAAAATAGCGTTCATTTGAGTACAGGGTTTGCAGTGATGTCAGTGTCTATGTGTGTGGACATTGGTGCTGTGGCGCCTCTCCAATGATAAAAAAAAAAAAAAAAAAAAAAAAAAGTATCAAAAAGAAGGA